CCTCTCGTTCCATACGTACCATCAGAACCATGTGCTGATACGATTCCGACAGAATATGGGAAGAAGATTGTGGTAGCGAAACCCGTCGTGGAGCTTGACGGAGATGAGATGACGAGGATTATTTGGAAAAAGATTCGTGAGGAGGTGCACGTTTTTTTAAATCTTCTGCTACACTTTATCTCAAACGTGATTGCTACCTCAAGCTTATCCTCCCCTATCTACAACTGGACATCAAGTACTACGACCTTGGCCTCGAGTACCGTGACCAGGTACGCCTCCCATTCCACCAATTCACTTTAATTTCCATATTCATGCGGTGAAAGACCAACGACCAAGTAACCGTGGAAGCTGCCAATGCCATCCTTGAGCACAAGGTCGGCATCAAGTGCGCGACAATCACTCCCGACGAGGCTCGTGTGGAGGAGTTCAAGCTCAAGGAGATGTGGAAGAGCCCGAACGGCACGGTGAGTGTTATATCTGGCAAGCAATCATCGCCAACTTCTCAACAGATGATGTAGATCCGTAACATCCTTGGCGGAACTGTGTTCCGTGAACCCATCATATTGGATCGTATCCCTAAACCGGTTCCAGGATGGGTGAAGCCAATTGTGATTGGCCGTCATGCATGTTCGTTATTCCGTTTGTTATCTCGTGATTGTTAAGCCTGACAATGATGTAGTCGGTGACCAGGTATGGTATTTTCGAACGTGAATGGTATACGTGTTTATGTGCGTTTAGTACCGTTCCACGGACTTCGTCGCACCGGGACCAGGGAAGCTTCAGCTCGTATACAGCCCTGCTGATGGAGGTGCGAAGACTGTCATGGACGTGTATGACTTCAAGGGAAAGGGTGTCGCCATGAGCATGTACAACACTGATGAGGTAAATTCAGCGGCTCTTCATCCTGATGCGACCATTGACTATGCCCGTTCTTAGTCAATAACTGGGTTTGCACACTCATCATTTAAGATGGCTCTCCTCAAGAAGATGCCCTTGGTGTGTCCGAATTTACCCGACCCGTATACATCATGTTGACGTAACTGTGTCTAGTTCATGTCAACAAAGAACACCATCATGAAGAGGTATGATGGCCGCTTTAAGGACATCTTCCAAGAGATCTATGAATCGCAGTACAAGGACGCTTTTGAGAAGGTCGGCATATACTACGAGCACCGCCTTATCGACGATATGGTTGCACAAGCGATCAAGTCCTCCGGTGGTTTCGTATGGGCATGCAAGAACTACGATGGTGACGTGCAGAGTGACATCCTCGCTCAGGGCTTCGGTTCCTTGGGCATGATGACCTCAGAGCTGATCACCCCTGACGGCCAGGTCGTCGAGAGTGAGGCTGCCCACGGTACCGTCACCCGACACTACCGCGAGTACCAGAAGGGCAACGAGACGTCGACCAACCCTGTGGCATCGATCTTTGCATGGACCCGTGGACTTCTCCACCGTGCTAAGCTGGATAACAATGAAGAGCTCAAGAAGTTCTGTTTGGATCTTGAGGCTGCATGTGTGGAAACGATCGACAAGGATGGAGTCATGACCAAGGATCTTGCTCTTGCTATCCACGGCAAGAACATGAAGAGAGAACATTGGGTCATCACTGACAAGTACATGGATGCAGTGAATGTAAGTGGTGGTTATGAGTACATGTACCGAAGCTAACTTTTTTGTGCAGGCTAAGCTGCAGAAGAAGCTTGCTGGAGGGGTCACTGCTAAACCTTGAACATGGTTGTGTATATTTCTTTTGTAAATAGAGGGGATGCGTGTTCGAATAGCGAATATTATACTTTTTTATGCAACATGCGAACGTCGTAGCCCAACGCGTTACGACGACCCCTAGTTCTAACAAGGTCGTCTGAGTGCTTACTGAGCACAGTTTTCAATCGCTCTACTCTGTTCTTAGTTAATGATCTTGACATTTACCAACGTCAGTTGGCTGCATGGTATTGTGTATAAGCAAGTAATCACTTCAGTGACAATCCTCAGTCCACAATGAAAATCAACATAGTTGTCACTGTATGTCATTCAACTGAATTTCCAGCCGTCTGTATTTCCGAACCATCCTAGCCGTCACCGGTCACCGTGTCGCTACCAGTTTTGCAGATGAAACGGACAAGTCAACCGCGCAGGTGCTGATAATAACCCCTTCCCATAGCGCCCCTAGTGCTGTGATATGGTGCACACGAGGAGTCTGTCACAGTGATGCGTTGGCCATTGACGGAAGAGCTGAAGAGCTCGAGTTTGCTGCTCATTGTTGCTATCAGACAGGAGGTGTCAGAAAGGTGCCAGGTGAGTGAGTTATCAGGTAGCCCATGAGTAGCATTGTGATTCAATGAGATGAAACAGAAATATAGGTACAATATCGTACATAACAGATAGATTGACGAGAATCATCTTCGTGTCCTTAGTAGTTAGCATCCTGTTGAATAAGCGCAATAGCTTTCGCAGAACGAGGCTTAATAGAGCACTTGAACGGCTTGGGGTGGCTGGGAGTATGTCTAGCTTTTAAACCAGCACTGCGGATGCGATAAGATGCATGACATACCTGATCGTGCCTGATGTATGGTCAACTTCAGGGGTAATCTCAACACCCTTCTCGACGACCTTGGAGATATCAAACACTGCGAGTGACATCACGGTAGATATCCAGACGGAGGCATCAGCGAGGTGGAGACCTGTTCATGAAAGCAAACAACATTAAGATATTGTTTGTTGAGTGTGATTTAGGCGTACCGGGGCAGATACTGCAAAGCAGGCAAAGTTAGCATTGCACTTGAAATCAACTCCGTGCTTACCGTCTACCAAAACCAAAGCAGATCGCACGAGGTTCGGGTTCGGGATCTTTTCCGTTATTATCCAAGAAGCGTTCAGGATTGAATTGCGAGGGGTTAGCATATGTCTGCGGGTCATTGAGCATGAACCTGTTTTTCAATTTGGTTGATATGTCGAATACGGAAATATAAAAGTGCTAACCAAATGTTAGGTATTACCAAGGAACCTTTTGGGATGTGGTACCCGTCATGGACATCGTCCTCGGTAACGCAATGGGGGATAGCTGTCAATTGAGTGATCGATACCGCTCGGTAATTAATGAATGCAATAAACGATATCCACATACCGAGAGGGCCGACAACATTCCAGCGAAGGACTTCTTTCACAAGCGCCTCAGTATAAGGGAGGGAGTCACGGTCTGCGAAGGAGGGAAGTCGATCAGGACCAACAACAGCATCTATTTCAGCCTGGGCCTTCTTCTGCGCATCAGGAAACAGTGTCATAGCAAGGAAAAACGAGTATATTGTAGAAACTGTCTGTGGGGGTAGGTATTAGTCTCAAAATATGGTAATATGAAGGGAAGAGCCAACCGTGTCGGCACCACCAGCGTATAGGGATACAGCAGACCATTTCACTATGTGATCCTCTTCAGCAGACAAAGTACGGCCATCCAACAGATTCGAGGTGAAAGATATCGGGGCGATGCCAGCATCCTGCAAAATATTCAACTCATGAACACAACACCACAGATGCTTGGTTACCATCTGTTCTTTAACGAACTTGTATGATACATCAACCATCTCTTTCAGGTTCTGGCGCCATTCACGAGCCAAGCGCTTGAAGCCAGCACCAGGAAACCAGTCGGGGACATTGGCCACTGAAAAAAATCAGGCCAATTGCAAGTAAAGGCCAGAGTCTTATAGTCTTACAGGATGGCACGATGTCAACCACGAAGGCGCCGGGAACAGTCGACCGCGAGAATTGGTCCATAACGCGTTCCGCAAGGTCGATAAGCGGATCGTTGTTCTCCTTCACCTCATAACCATGAGAGATTCGCAGAATGATAGCACCAGCGGTGCTACAAGAATTCAAGGTCCCACCCATGCGAGGGTAAATCATACAACATACTGTCGGACATGGGCTTGCAGTTGCTCAGGGTTCGAAAACACGCGCATCAGGAATCGGCGAGTCTCAGTCTCCTCGATCGGGTGGTAGACATCCAAGGCGGCGCGATTGCCTAAGATTTGGTGGATGTTCTTGCGGTACTTGCGGAAGCGGTCACCATACGGGAGAAGGCCCAAACCGTGCTTCCAGCCAACAAGTTCACCACACATAGGCAGAACAGGACGGTCAGAATACACAGTGCCTTTCTTGTCCAACATGTCCACCGCACTCTTGACTGAGTTTAGCACAATGACGTGCTGACCCAGGATCTCAATATGCGAGATAGCACCTAGAAAGCACGGAGTTGGAATGCATTATTTTGGAACGGGAGACACTCACCATACTTCTCACCCCACTCTGCAAAGGTGAGCCAGGGTTTGATTTGAGGCATGTCTTGAATGTTCCCAATGAGAGGCCACCCACGGGGGCCGGGGGGATATGATGCAGGATTCTTGTTCAACACCTGCTTGACCAGATATGCTCCAATACCAGCAAGACATATGTCCAGCCAAGTGACGTTGAGTGTCAACATGATCCAGTAGAAGAGGATGAATAAGCAAAGAATGAGGCTGAGTGATGAGAGAACATCAAATAAGATAAATCCTATCCCCTTGATAATATAAATACTGCGGCCGTTGAAAGACTGATCTGGTCAGGAAAACATTCCCGTATTAACTTAGAAAGAATCAGAACAATTAGTCGGATGAAATAGTATTCTGGCCTTCCACAACTGCCTTTTGTTTTTCCTGTGTCATGACCTTCTGCACAACCGTCTCCCGCGTCACATTAACCCCCTTCGCCTTCCCAAGTTGCTCTCTTAAGTTCTTTATACCAGTTTCAAAATTGCCAACGCGCGCACCCGATGCTTCTGAGATGCCAATCGCATTCGGTTGCACAAAAAACAGTTTCGTTGAAACTCGGCTTCGGGGTAGTCGTAAGCGCCTAGTATGCCTCCAGGGGTCTTGGAAGGGAGGGGGAGGGGCGAATATCGACAGAAGTAGTGTAGAGTAGAGTACACATCTTAACAGAAGAAAAATTTACCTCATCCTGCACAGGAAGCATCATCGCCACTTCGTGTACATCCCTTGGCTTTGAATCTTTCATGTGGTGTAACGGCACGACGGGGGGGGCATAGGAATAATGTCTTCCACATTGGCAGAACTTCCAAGGCTGAGGGACAGGCTGATGTACCTAGTTGTCGGGGGTGAATTTGACGACATTGACGTGGCGATAGTGGGCGTCCCAAGAGTTGTACAAGATGCCTGACACGACCTACTGTCAAAATTGGAGTCGGGGTCCGCCTAACATATTATATTCTGACGCGCCTCCCACACATATATTCGACTTTGGGTCGTCCCTCCTGCACAGAAGCTTCCCGAGTTGTCCAGCGCAATGCACGAAGGCCTTTCAAGGAGGACTATTTTGAAAGCAGGTTGATCCTAAGTTACACTGAGAAAGGTGAAAGTTGTATCAGAAACATAGGGCCCACCCTTTGGAAGTCGTGGACATTGAATCCTTGTTTTATTGTGCTGCGAGGATGAACCTTCCCTGACCATCTTGTGTTTCGATAAATGATGTGCACGGTGCAGTGTGGTGCAGAGCTAGACTGCTTGAAAGATGCAAGCGACGGCCCGGTCTGCACGTCATGAAGGACAATTGCACCTGAGCCAGAACCAAACGCCCGGGATGCTTACCGAGCGGTGGTTGAGGTCTTTGCTACTGATGCTAATCGATGCACTTGTGTTTCCCACCCTGTTGGGAGCTGGAATGGTAATACTAGATAAGGGACAAAAAGTGATATAAGCAACCGATAGTTTTCCTGATGACTGACACTAGGTGGAAAAAGGAGTTGTTGTCTGAGGATTGACACCATTGACTCGGAACTGCAGCAATTGGACCCTCTTGCTATGCACCACAAGAACATGAAGAAAGTACACTGGGTCACAT